GTGAATTTCAGGTAATGATTTGTAACAATTATCACAAAGTATATGTAATGATAATAAAGTAGAATAAAAAAAATTGAGTTTGGCCATAAATAAAAATGTATGGTTGAAGCTCGTAGGGAAGAGATCAAAAAGGAAGAATATGTCTGGGTAGTAAAATGTGAGGCAATTAGGATTTGCAAGAAAAAAAAATCTCTCGGTAATTCCCTATAATTTGCGAAATTCTAAGTCAAGTGAAAATCAACTGTGAATTTGTAATTAGGCTAAGAAGCATAGGAGGTTGATTCTCGATATAAGTTAAACTTTTCCATATTTCATATCTGCGTGTGCCAGTTTCAGTATTCCATTTTCTAGAGTTTCTCATTTACATATTTGAAAAGAATTTCACTAATTTTCATGCAACAATATCATTCCAACCCTTTTGTTCCTTTATTATGAAATAATAATGTCACAAACATTTCGATGATTCCGAAAGTTAATTAAACTTTGTAATTTTTAAAGTAAATTGAAGTAAACAAAATATACTGTACGGATAAATTTAATTCTATACTAAAGTTATTTATTAGTACTTCTCTTGACATTTAGACAGATGTCAAGAGAAAGGAGTTTTATTAATAACTCATTTTAAGGTGAAGAAACATAATGGCAACAACATTTCCAGTACCAATATATATATAGACGGCGGGTAGTTCGTAGAGGCTTTTACGAAGATTGTCCATATCAGAGGACTATCTTTAAAATAACACTGCAGGCGGGTATACCAACGTGGATTTGTTCCATTTTATCACTTTACATACGAAAATATAACGAGATGAGCGTGATGTCGACAGATGTCTTTACTCCTCGGCGATCGGAAACAGAATGTCTGCCAAAATGGCGGCAACTTGCTTTTTATTAACGAACTGTCAAAGTCAGTGTCACCATTCTAATAAAATTGAGGGTATCGATGATCACGCTCTCTTTACAATCGAGTAATTAAGTAATCGAGTAACTAGCAATTAAAATAAAAGAAACTAAATCAAACGATCTTCGTAATGATGATGCGACACGGCCATTCTGGGAGACGGTGCGTGCTCTGCGCCAATCGCGTTTCTGTAACAAAATACAAGAGCTTTTCTGAGCTAGGCATCTGTAAACCTAGTCATTTGGGAATTTTGATTTGAACAAGATTTCGGCCATGATTTTTTTTTAAACATAAAATTCATTACCAACGGGTATTTTATCACAATTGTTATAAAAACGGTAGTTAAGTTGTTTAGGAAAGGTTTAGGAAAATGAGCTGTTTTATCAAGTATATTTGGTAATGCAAATGCTCCACGCATATTTGCATTGATTATTGTACTCGTAGCAAGTGTGATGCTGTGGTCATGAGCGGTCCTGTACGCCATGATCCACAGTAGCTCAAAAGGAGATGGGGAAAGGTCGATGCTGGGGTCTGGGTCTTACATGAGACCGTGGTCCCCAGAGGCTCTAAAGGAAACAGGCAGGACGATGCTGGGGTCTGGGCCTTATTTATGACCGTGGTCCCCAGAGGCTCTGTGAAACGACTTAAAAATTGGGAAGTTCATTGGATGGGATTTATACAGTCTTTTCATAAGAAATTATTGATTATTGAATTGAACTTTCATGAAAATGTTTTAATTAGGCATCTAATTGATGTGCAGCGCGGTAGATTCTTTTCTCGGTCAGTCGTGACTTCAACAAAAGCAAGATTTTGAAACCAATCGAATTTTTAATAATTAGAGACCATTTTTACTTTAATTTTCTTTAGTTATAAGAATTTAAGAGTTGATAAATCCTATCATCAAATCTTATTTACAATGAAAGTATGCATAAACAACAAACTGGTTTGAGAACCTCGATTGCCCCACTTAACCAGCAATGCAATCACACTTTTTCAATTTTATTTTCACTTATCTAGTGATTTTAAGAGTGTTACTAATTCGATTGCGATGAATTCTTCACGATATTAATTACTTTGTAAGAGAGCACTCGATTCCAGTATCATAACAAAATGAAAATGACTCACCAAAATACTGCAAAATACTAGCGAGGGTAGCAATGAAGCAGATGTCTGCAACCTGTTCCGCAACTGTTCGTCATATCAGGAACGCTTGGTTCTTCCCACGAAGGCTTCAAGTGTTTCTTCTTGTATCGACAGGCAGAAATATTGCCAGGATCGAGTTCGGGCAGATGCACATGTGACTCGACGACGGTACATATGACTAACGTGGTTGAGGGCGAAAAAGTTTTGATTTTGTTACCGCAACAAGATTTTCCATATCCATGACATTTGTGTGTCCACTTGGTCGGTTACATCCCACTTCTGATAACGGCGGGTAGTTCGTAGAGGCTTTTACGAAGCCCAAATAGATTGTCCATATCAGAGGACTATCTTTAAAATAACACTGCAGGCGTGTACACCAACGTGGATTTGTTCCATTTTATCACTTTACATACGAAAATATAACGAGATGAGCGTGATGTCGACAGATGTCTTTACTCCTCGGCGATCGGAAACAGAATGTCTGCCAAAATGGCGGCAACTTGCTTTTTATTAACGAACTGTCAAAGTCAGTGTCACCATTCTAATAAAATTAAGGGTATCGATGATCACGCTCTCTTTACAATCGAGTAATTAAGTAATCGAGTAACTAGCAATTAAAATAAAAGAAACTAAATCAAACGATCTTCGTAATGATGATGCGACATATATATTCATTTAAAAATGTTTTAAGAGAAGGCACCCTTAATCATCTTTATGTTTTGGACCGATGGACATTTCCGTTTGCAGGCAGCAGTGTGTCATCATTATCTATAATAAATATTTTTAATATAATAATATACACTTTATAATAAATTCGCTAGGCGCTTCTAGTAGTTTATGCGTTTGGTTACTGCCCGCTATGTATTTTATGTAGATTTTATAACTAGCCGATATTGAAGAGTGCTTCATTCAGTCAATTAATAAAGAAATATCTCTCGACACGCAGATAGCGGTACCGCGGTTGAATTATTGTGAAGTTTCTGATGTGTTTATTTTACCACCAAAATAGTAGAGCTAATAAAGATAATGGAGTTCCAATGCTTTGGTATAGAGTTATCATACTAGACAACTTTTTTCTTTTAATAGTAGCCATTCAAAACTTATTTATCACCTATCTAGCCTATTAACATCCCCACTACTGGGCATCAGGCGGGGAAATTTTATAATATAAAAAATTAAACCTTCTGTAGATAAGTACAATTTAATAACATTAAGTCGCTTATTATAAATAGCCAATCACATCACAAAATAAACGTTAAAAGTTAATACTACTTTTTTAAATAAAGATTTAAAAAATTACACAGTGCAGAAGCAAAATACCTCAATTACCATGTTCAATGAAAGAAGCTTATTGAATCAAGTTGGAACGAATACAAAGGTCACCCATACTTTCTAATTAATATTTAACATAAATGAATTCATTTACACAGCTATTAAAATCTGTTTTGGCTAATTTTATAAAGTGAGATTATATTATTATTTGGTTTTATAGTATAAAGTGCTTTCGGTACATATTTAAAGTATTGGCAATTTATTACAAGTCGATTTTGTAAAAATATTTTGTCAATATTTAGTTTCTTTTATAATTAATTTAATGTGTTTTATATTAAAATAGCAAGTATAACCTGTTCAAGTCAGTTGTGCTATGTCACTATTGATAGGAGTAACCCGTATTGTGCTTATTAGATCAAAGATCAAGAGAATTGATAAAAAAAAGTCCTAAATATTTATAAAACTAAGACTCGATTCGCAACTTTATAGTTACATTAAGTACTAACTACATTTTTATTGCCTTTTCATTTGTCACAGTGAGTATGGTTGTAAAATTGTAATTGAATCTGAAGCTATATCTCTAGGAAACTATACAGGGGTAGCACGAGGTCTTCATCTCATAATACAATATATCACTATTATCGTTACTAGCATAGTGATGGCCACATGCTGGGGCACATGCCTTCTATGTGAATAGAGAAGCACATAGAGTAAATAATCAATAACTCACCACGTGGTTACATTGCGACAGATTAGTGGATCTCAAAAACTGCAGATGTAGCAGAAACTATAGATTAAGGTGTCTTCCGAATCCCAGAGGACCTCGAAGTATCACCGTAACCGCAAAACGAATGCGCTAACCATCTTGACATCAAGCACTTATACAACTTAAACATTATATTTATTTATCAAAAAAATACATGCATACCACAACGAATGTTCTAAGTAAGGGATTCTAGGTCAAATTCTATCATCAATTACCTATTTCAAAATATATTTTAGTTTATCATTTTTTATTTATTTAAATTGAACTACGTTTCATGATATCAAATAACAGACCTTGAATTTAAACAAAACAAATACTGCCATGAAATAGGAGACTATTTCGTTCTACAAAAAAGAGCGGTTGCCGTCTTAAGAACCGAGGCTACAGTAAGTTTTATTTTCGAATTCAAAGGGTTCAATATCACTCGATTTCCATAACCGTTCGCCGGCTGACGTCTAGGTTACATTTTAATATCATGAATAGGAAATTTTAGCATAACAGACGTTCAATTTCAATACCAGATCGGGAACATCGCGAAAGAAAGTTTCTTTAACGAACCCCCAAATTTTATAACCAATCGGAAAAATATACGATATTAACAAATTTGGCTATCTATTCAAGGAAAATGTAGACATTTATAATTGAAATTAATTTTTTCATCCAAAAGTTGATTTATTTATGAACTAATATGCACACAGTAGTTAAATAAAACAGAATTTTTCTCTGGTATCAACTAAATGTCCCAGATTTCGTTATCGACAAACAAATACGCCACGGACTCACGATAAAATTTTTTTAGGTCTCATAAAATTCTCGACAAATATTCTGATAAATAAAAATGTCGTTCCGAGCGTATCGTGAGCCGCGTTCCAGTTGCATAACTGTCTATAACCGGTGTTTCCAAACAAAATGCGACGTGTGTTGACGTCACTAAACAATCGACAACCGGCCTAACAGCGGCCCCTAATTGGCCAACCGAGAACTGAGCGAGCAACGCTCCTACACGCTGACCTTAACAAGTGACTTGATAACGTTCAGACTCAGTGTTGACCAAGTGCCCACGCCACCTACACGCCTCATACAATAATGTCAGAAACAGAAAATACCGCTACTTTATGGGAGGAGTTAACGAGCCCTTTAAATTTAGCGTTGATTGGGATAATAGTGTACCTTGTTTACAAAATAATACAGTCTAAATTCGAATCGGAAACCGAAGCCGCTCCACCGCCTCCGCCACTACCTAAACTCCGAAAGGACCTGACGGTTGCAGAGTTGAAGAAATACGATGGCACTCAGCCTGATGGGAGAGTTTTGCTTGCAGTAAACGGTGTGATTTTTGATGTCACCCGAGGAAAACGTTTCTACGGGCCCGGTAAGTGATGTTTGTAGTTTTATACGTAATACGTGAGCGCGACAGTAGAATTTTGTGAGGTGAGAATATTACGCTGATATTTGTACATAACCGGTTCGTTTTAATAGCAGATAAAAACATTTACGTTTCGAATGTCGATAAATTTGAACAAACATAACATTTTAGCATTACTGAAATGATAAACGTTTTGATATTAACAATCGTTTAGATTTCTTATTACTGTTACATTAAAGATAAACAGTATTTTTCATGAGTCCTTTATCAATAATAGTCTTAAATATAATCTTCTACGAACCTCAAAAGAAAATATAATAGCCACATGAATCGTAAAAAGTGTCTGGTGCATTTAATTATTATGGTTCACTAGACATCACAAAATCTCTACATCGGTCTCCCTCGCTCGTGTTTAACTATGTTAAGAATGACAGAGAAAAACGATCAACACGCTCTGATTCTTGTTCGAATTCAACAGAGTAGTTATGCTTATAAACTAGTTATATTGCGGTGCTTACTACTACAATGTTATCGTTATATGATCCATCAACTACCGATACCCGGTCAGATAACAGAAGGCGATTGTGTTTTGTTACGAACGTTTATATAAATTGTAAATTTATCGTAAAACATTTCGAATAGGTACTTTCGTAACCGAGTAGTTCGCACGCCGGTTTCAAGGTGTCGCTATCTCTGAAGTCTAGAGTTCGATTCTTGGTCGAGACAATGTATAAAATATTTTTTCTATTTTATCTTAAATGATACCTTTACTGTGTCAGATACTCCATTATACAAGCTGAATCTACTCTCCTTAATATCTGAGCAATGTATGTTATGTAATAATAATAAATGACAATACTCTGAGACTCGTTCATCACTGATAACGTTAAAAATTTTTCGATAAACAATTTTCTTTATGAAACCCGATATATATTGGCAAGTCCTTATTTTTTACCCTTCTGCTATTTTTGCAATCAATTAGAATTGAAATAATCTTTTGTAACCTCCGTTAAATAAAAGAGATTATATTTTTATTAATTTTGCATTCACAATGCCATACTGAAAATTATTCTATGTACAAAATGTTTAAAAAATCCACTTGGTCATTGGCACCCTGAGATGGGAATCGAACCCATGACCTTTCGCAATCCGGGCGACTGCTCTAACCACTGAGCTACCCAGGACCTAACAGGACTGACGAATCTTTCAAGCACTTGTTACTTTTCGCTACTACAGAGCGTATTCTCATCCATCTCAGGATGCCAGGGACCAAGTGGATTTTTTAAGCATTTTGTATTAAGAATAAATAAAAGAGAGTCATCATATAAAATCCAAAACTTTAATTTGTAAAGACAGAACTTATAACTTGACTAATTATATTGTATGAATGAAACAACTACTTAGAAAAAACATATGCTTTTAGTATTTAGAATCTAGGCCACAAAAAGGCCAATATTTGATTTCCGAAAGTACGATTCCACTTTTTTCTAAATATATTTTTTTTATTAATCTTTAGATTAATTATGTGACTCTTGTGCTTACTATTTTTCTTTTTTTATACGCCACCCTACCGAGACTTCATAGCGTAACCAAACAATAAATCTAATATGTTGAGATTTAAGATCACTTGCAACAATTTCATATATACAACCCTCTTTAAGTTATAATTGATTGATTGATTGTAAAATAGTTGGTTTTTTTATATCAAATTATTGATATAAAAATACCATCTATTTTTATAACTTTACTCATCCATAGCATTAATACAAAATATCAATATTCTACATTTTTTTATAGCGATACAATGGATTTGAAATTAATCTTCTTAGATATACTGACTATACTTATAAATAGGATGATCATAGGGTATTTGACGCTTTTCTGAAAACTATTTTAAATGGTTTGATACATTATAAACATACTGTCCATATATTTCATGGGAATCTGTTGTATTTTCTCTGAATTAGAATAAGAATCTGTTCAATAGCCAATATCGCGCAAAAAATGCTGCTCTGACATAACCTTTTTATCAACTATTTATTTATAAATTTTATGTTTTGTATTAAATCTACTGTGATTTTTTTTTTATAAAAATGAGCTTCAAATTGTATCTATGTATAAATAGAAATTTTGAATATTTCCAATAAAACTGTTTTGATATGACAGCTTCCAATTTACGTGTGACGACACATGCCGGTAAACAGAATCTGTTACGACAACGAATTACAGGGCGTTTTCGTAGTTCATTAAAATTCCTAAAAATATAGCAGCTCTTTACGTTATTTAACTAAAACTAAACGTATTTTGTCTGCAGATTCAAAGAAATAAACTTTATTAGATTATTATCTAACAGGATGATCATAACACGCAACTTATTCTATTGTTACATACAAATACAATTATATACAATGAACACGGTGTAGTTAGGTACAATGTTGATAATTTATAGTATCTGAGTTAGCTTAGAGAGTGTCAATTATTAACTTTGACAATATCCTTGAAACTGAATAAATTTAAATAATACTCGTCTGGTAAGTATACAATATAATTTGAAAACAATAGAACCGTTGGCATTATATATTGTTGCCGACCTTTTTAATTTATTTCACTGAAATATATTAAAATCATAAACAATGTTATTGTCATCTATTGTAACGTGTCTGAGACCTTTGTATATATATATATATGTCGGCGAGAAGGCGCTTCGATTGTGCGAAACGCCATCTGTCACCTGCAGCTGTCATCTGTCAAGATCTATGGTGCTTTGTGAAACGTCAAGTTATGACATTGACGGCTGTCATCGCTTGGGAGTGGTCTATGCTTGTTCGAAGATGGCACTTTTACGTTGTGCGGCCATATTGAGCGGACGCAAGCGCAGAACTCTCCGCGTTTCGTATTGCAATTCGTTTGCATCGAGTTATTATTAATGTACTCCGATTAGATAATTAAGTAATTCAACTAAATAACTGATTTGTGATCTATATGCGATCTTATTTCGAAGGAATATCTCGACCACTAGTCAGATTGCGGATGTTGACTAACCTAACTTTCCGCCGGCCCCGCATGACTTTCCGACATATATATTTATTTTTTTCAGTAAAATAAACTTAAATTTTGTCATTACTTAAATAGCAGTAGAAACAAATATTTATTTGCAATCAATATCATTTTCATTAAAGAATTTTAATACTTATATTGAAAAGACAATTTTATTTTTACAAAAGTTAAAATTCCTAAAACTTACAAAAAACAATGGTTATTTAAACCTTTACGCTCGCTCCTTTTGAAATTTACATGTTCTTAACAAAGTGGTTTAAAAACTTTTACAGTTATGCTAATATAGTAGCATGTATTACTTGATGTTCGAAATTCAAAATAATATTCATCATAAAAACTCGTTCCTGTTTATCGATGTCAAGTGATGGGCCGTCGTGCCGCTTGCGCCACTTAAAAGTTTAAAGATCATCTTGCACAAATTGTTGTCTTGTAATAAGGGAGCGCCCTTAACTGACGTACGAACAAACGAAGCATCTTCGTCGCAAGATGGCTCAAAGAGTGCCTAAAATATTTTGCTTACTGTCCAAACCATACCAACACACGTAGCGTGATGAGCTCGAGAACCTTTTGTCTACACATAAATGTTACTTTTCTGGGGTGCGCATATACGCCATATGACCCGAGAAAAGTGATTATGGTGTAGACAAAGCGTTTCTCGAGTTTTTCATAATATTTTTGTGTTTTTAAATACAAAACGCCACCCACTAGACCGTTCCATCACTGTTCAATACCGGAGCATGCCCAGCTTGCAAGAAAGTACAAAGGCTACTTAGAAATACAGGTTTTTGTGAACGTAATCGTTAAGTACTTGAGTCACTTAGTAACCGATAGTTGTTAAGTAAAAAGAAAATTTCCAATAATTGTAATAGTTTCGAATAATTATTTATTGATCGGAGTGTCGCTCCATTACTAGCCTTTTGATTTTGTCACGATTTCACTTTATTAACCGTAAAAGGTACTCGAATAAAGATTTTATGTGCTTAAACGCATCGCACGATCGATTCGTTTATTAGTACAATTGTAAAAAGTAGACGACGCCTGACGTTATATGTTCAACCGAATGTAAAGAAATAACATCAACTAGCAACGATAGAGCAGTGATAACATGTGAATATTGTCGCTATCTATTTTACATTATGGTAGTTATGAATTGTGGTTAAGCCATAGCTAGAGTTTAATTAACATATCACATCGACTTTAGTTTTCGCGTTGGAAATAATTTCACTTACAGAACTGCCGTTGTTGTTTTAATTAGCGTATTTGCGATATTGCTGACAGCATGGGATATCATGTGTTTATTTATTTAATCCGGCAGATGACCAATATTCATGAATTATACATAGTTGGGAATTTATTTCTCCTAATACCTATGTTGTAATAATAATAACCTCAAGCGACTTCTTCTTTAAATAAATATAGCGATGAGCACTATATCTGACAAACGACATCAAGAGGGTTGCAGGTTCTTTGCAACCATTTGTGGTTGGAAAAAGCTCTATGACGAGATGCATTGAAAATGAGGTAGGCCTACACTGATACAGTAGAGACAGGCTTCATGATTTCACCTGAGTTGATTATATTTGTGTATGATATTTCCATGTGCCAGAACAATACTCAAATAGTTAACTAAAACATAAAATTTAAACATTAAAACTCAATTATTATATCATAAGTGTGTGTTCATTCTGAGACAATCACACCACAGTGTAGATATAGGACATAACTAAAGGCAAACTCATATAACGTAAAAATATTACTATCTTAAAAAAAAAGAACTAATATCTTACACACAGCTGCAGCGTTTCCTTGAAAGGAAATAACACATTATGTTAATATAAATTCAAATCACCTTCGGATGCATTTCGATAAACTTGACTGCATGTTGTATCAAAATTTCATCAACGCGTTATGTAAATGCTTTCGTTTTATAATAAGATACAATTTATTATTCTTAGATCATAAATACGTCTATGATATTATGTTATATCTATTATGCATTCAATACGATATTCAATGGTGACTTTAAACTCCTTCAATGTCTAGAAGAGCACAAAGGGCTATTTGTTTATCTTCAATAGATATTTCAAAACGATCTGTTAGTTCTTGTTAGGCAATTCCGGTAGGTTTTGTAAGGTCCGGCAGAAGTATATGAATAAACATCGTTAACCTTTATTAGCATATTTTTTATTAAGAATAATTTAAACCCTGTAAAACCAGTTGATTTGCAAGATCTTTATACATTACTAGCTGTTGTTTCGCAACTTCACACGCATATATTACAGCCTATGTCAACCCCGTATGATGTAGCTCTCCACAGATGGAAGAATTCTTTAAATCGGTCCAGTCATTTTGGAGCCTGTTCGATGTAAACAAACATATAAACAAAACAATAAAATCTTTTCTCTTTATAATATTAGTATATGTCAGTGATTCCCTAAGTGGTCCAGGTGGACCCCTAAGGGTCCACGAGGGATTCAACGGGGCTCTACGTTTGCGTGAATTCCCATCGTTAGATCTTCGCATTTTGGACGAATTTTGGGAATATGGTAAAAATATAACAGTGAAAGCGAAATATAAATAAAAATAGTTCCAAATAGAATCAATAGAATATTTCACATATTGTATTTGTATGACAGAAATTTTGAGGAGTTGCTAAGTTTTTCTCCTTCAAAGCTAAAACAAGTCACAGGGACAGGCCTGCTCTATGGATGGAATCTAATATGGAGAATGGGGGTCTTGACCCATCCCCTACGCGAACCCAATGCAGATAAGGACTGCAAATGTAACGCAAATGCTTGATGAGCCATCCGAAGCACGGAGGAGCTCGAGATAATACATTTTTGACGAATCCTATGCCCTCGCAGAATTTGCTTAAATTTCCCAAACCAATTCAGTAAAGATAATTTTGACTCCGCATTGGGCCAGCTTAAAGAGTCATGGTCAATTCTCCTTAACCATTCACGAGGAAACCTCGAACCTTTGGTTAGACCACTGTAAATATTTGTTACTAAAATCACTCTAATAAAATTATTTCAGGTGGTCCTTATGCAGCGTTTGCCGGCAAAGACGCTACCAGAGGACTGGCCACCGGTCAGGTGAGCGGCTCCGAACAAGAATATGACGACGTCAGTGACCTCTCCCCGGACGAGGTTTACTCAGCTAACGAATGGGAGGCGCAGTTCAGAGGTACTCGCGTTTATTTTATCTTGGCCATCATTCATTTAAAGTCCACTTGCATATATAGATGTAGTAATTATTAAACGACATAGACTCAGTACGGATTGGTCAGTGTTGACAACTGCAATTATTTAAAACTCGGAATAGCAATTCGATCACTTTTCTAATACCTTTGCAATATTTATCTTAAGTTTTTAATTACATGACTAAACACTCACACTTTTAATCATGTGATACAACTTATATGCTTCTTTATTTTTGTATAAACGTAGATCATTTCCATGACACAAGATCACTCAACTCAATTTTGTAACGTAAAAGTTGCGTTCATACAGTGCGTTATCGCAATTTTATCAAGAATAAGACACAAATGTAATAAAACTCCGTATTATCATAGAAAGAAACTGTTAGTATGGTTTTTTTTGTTGTACTCTATAGTCATAGATAAATCATCTATGCCCATGGTATGTACTAAAAATATATAGCCCGGTATATATATAATATAGTAGTAAAATGCAATAACATTATCGTTAGCCATTGAGATGCGTTAACAGTAGTAGAATCGAGGTCGAGGGCTTTACCTGCTAGTGATCGGAACTGATTAATGTTGTCTCTTATAGTAACATGAAACGCAGCAAAATATAATAATAAATAAAAGCTTCTTTTATTTCGTGTCCATAAACACTACGGTGATATTACAGAATTTAATAAAACATCTCCTGAACAGGCTTGAACTCGTAGTGACGTGAAGCGTCTAATAAAATGTAAAAATATTAAACACGCTGTCACTCACAAACTCGCATTATTAAATAAATAGTGTTCTTTATAAAATTATTCATAATATTATTAAAAGAAAAAGTAAAAAATAAACTATTCTCAAACTACACTTAACGTCACTTAAATAGGTTTTCGTTTCTGATTTTAGTTCTTTTAATGATCAATTGATAGCAGTTTGATAAAACTATAATTCCTTAATTTGTGACACGCAAAAAACTTACATTAGCTTAAGTCATTGATTTCTTACTTTCTTCGATTTAGTTTTCTCATAACAATACTTTATTATTTTTTAACTAAAGTAAAACTTCATTGTTTTTATTTACTTTAAAAAAATATATATTTTAGACAAAGATAAATACATTAATAATTCACTAGTCCCAGGTTCCCAAGATGGTGATTGATAGTCTATTCATAGTATAAAGAATCTTTTAAGCTACACAACGAATTTTAATGCGATTTTCATACAAATACATAGTTATTGATTAAATTATTCAAGAGTATCCAATATCGAGTAAAATATGGGAGAAACCGCTGGCGAACACCTAGTCTAAGCCTATACATATAAGTACCAGTTAAATGTATATTAATTCAGTAGATGAGTTTTAAAATTTAAATAAAAAATTACGTTGTAATTTTAATGGGAATTAAACATAAACTTCAACTTATATCATTACGTAATGAATCCTTACATTAACCAATGTGATCTACATATATAAAAATGGAAATATTGCTAAATTAATAGCCAAGGAAAACATTATTAAATCTAAGTTATTAATAAAGTAATGAATAAAATGAATGTATGTAAAATGCGAGTTGATAAATAAATAAATGAGTATATTCTTAGGCAGGAATATTAAACTCTATTTCTATTTTTCTTTAGTAAAAAAATTATGACAAATAATATGATATATACAAACGCACGGACGAGGTTTTGTAATTTAAAATCGACCTAAAAAAAGTTTACTAAATAAAATACATGTGTAAATAAAGTAAAATTGCTAAAGTGGTCACCGTGTATATTATAATCTGGCCCCACTGACTCAAGAAACATTTAGATACTGATCTTGAATGCTTAAGAAATGTATGCCATACATAATCGAGTGAAGCAGAAGCAGTCCCGTGTATGATAAACACGTTTATACTTAACGTTAAACAAAGTTAAATGTTTTAAGTATCAACCAAAACTGAAACAGAAATTTGAACGCTAACTCTTTAGCGTAAGCTACAATTTTTGTTATGAAAAACTATAACAATGAATAATTATAATATATTCTTTTGATAACAATAAATAAGAACAGTTTCTCTTTACTCTTATTTTGTTAACAAAGCTTTGTAAATTCATTGAAAGCAGGTATTTAACTAAAGTTTCATCATAATTAACTCAACAAAAAAAACCATTTGCGTACCTAATTAACATAAAACATTCACTATGACGTTATTTTAATTTATAATATTTTCCCTAGTTTATAACGAGAGGTCGTTGTTATAAAGAAAAAATAATAATTGTTTTTACCTAGCTAGAAACATAAAAATTGTTTTTAAGCCACTGTCAATTTCAATTAAGCTTCCGACACGGACGAAACATAATTTCTTACATCCAAATTGTTATTTCTTTCAGAAAAATATGACATCGTTGGTCGCCTACTGAAACCGGGTGAGACTCCGAACGAATACAGTGATGACGAATCTGAAGATAAAAAAGAAAAATAGACTTTAAATTTATTTATAATTATTATTACACATACTGGATCCAACCCTGTCTAAATGGAGTACTTTTTTCTGGTATCGGACTATGAAACTTTGTTATATATCGTTCTAAATATTAACAAATACATATTTCAATATCGGAAAAAAATAAATGCCTGTAAGAAACAAAATATATATTATAGAACAACATCATTTAGCCTAAAAATATTTTTGCTGTAGCAAATGTCGTAGATATATCAGGTAAATTTTTAAGAAGGACTAAGTCGAGTTGATATTTTTTTTCTTAAATCTCTCCACAATTTAATTTGATCTTTAGACTACGTACAGATGAACGGCCGCGTGACATATGAACGTATGAAGGCGTGCATATGCGGGATGAAATGTCGGCAGTAAAGTTTGCCAATTGTGTAAAAAAGGATTGTTTACACGTGTTTAGTAGACAATCAGACTCAGAGTCGCTAGAGATCCAATATCCGGCGCCAGCGGTCATCTTCACGATTTTGTCAGCACTGACTTGTCTTGATTTTGGAGTCAGTTTTTAAACTCCACATAGTCCTAATTGAAGCTTATTAACATTCATGGTAAAAAATTCTCAATGATGATTGTGTTGTGGCTTCATGATGTAAATAATAAGTGAACATTGTGTGTCTTGTTTGGATATTAAAAATTCACCACCATGGTTGGGACTTAGAAACAAATACTTGGGTATTTGTTTCTAAGTTCTAAGTAAGACAGTAAACCATTGCCCAACGTCAAAAAAAAACAAACATTCCCATACAGTCTTTGTGAAATAACACTTCATGACGTTGACGGCAAGACATCGCGCGATTTGCGTCGCACGATCAACTGGGATAATTAAATAAAATCGCACAGTTTGCTATTAACTAGTTAGGAATCCCCCTTACAACGTAAGTGGACTGTTTTGTTTTTTATCTGATTTATGAAATGTCCGTCGACTGCATGCAGCCTTATTGGTTGGATCCTGTAGGTACCACCTAACTGTTCTTTGTTGAAATGTGATATTTTTATAGGAGGGTTACTGTTTGATTATTACAATAAAGTTTTTATAAAAAAATATATATATAGGTTGTTATTTCGTAACTATTGTTAAAGAAAAAATCAGAATTCCCTGTAACTTAATGAAACTCTGCAATATACCTGTAACTCTAGTAATATACTCTAGGAATATCCATATAAAGAATTAATTGACTTGAGACATGACAATATTATCATTTTGTTAATGGGAATCCAAGAAAATCACTATTATTATTGGATCAACTGCCTTATTTCCTTGTTCAAAATTAATTGAAAACAGCTGCTGTTAATAAATAGTTTTCATATATTTAGTCGTCATATATTTAGTCGCCAACATTCGAGTGTATAACGTAACATTTCAATTGAGGCACAAACTGTTCGAGTTCCACTGCATGGAGGCAGATGAAAAGTCGCCTCCCACTAAGTTTTAATGGCTCAACCAACTCGGCGGTTAGTTGGGGAGTATATTGTATTGTTACGCACGCCTCACATTATACTCGTACAGACTTTTATCTGGCGTTGCGGTCCGAATAGCTGTAACGTGTTTTAATAAATAACAGAACTGAAATACGTTCTATATTTATAAATATATTCTTATCAATATTATCATAAAATATCTCCTGTTTGGGAGGAATTTCTAAGACTGCAATGATATCTATTTCAATTTGCTTATTCAAGAAGTTCAGAGATTATAATAAACATTTATATACTAGTTTTTCGCAGAATTGCTACCATGTACCTTGGTTTTGTTACTCCGTGATCTGGATGGCACTTGCAATAACAAAAAAATAAATAAAATGGTATCAATCTCTAGAAAAACTCTCAATCTAATATAAATGGTCATACAAACTTAAAAAAATACACACGCAGTAAGCTTACAAGAATATTTGCGTTAAACACTTTATACTTATTAAATTTTCAATTATTATCAAGTTATATGACTCATATTACAAATGCAATGCACACAAAATGTGATTATATAAATATTTTTATTTAGATTTCCATTTGAAGACGAAGTAATCATATTTGTCTAGCGTTGGATCTTTAATATAACTTTATTTTTCACAAAATTTTATTCGTACGAAATTTAATCTAAGGAAAGTGTTTTATGCAATATTTTATAGTAGCAAAATAGTATATTATAGTAATAAAAATTTTCATAAATTCAAATGTGAGTTCACAAGTAAACAAACCTTGAAATGGCATTAAGTTGCATCGTTATCTGGCTGATAATTGCGCCTGCTGTGGTACTTAAGGATGTAATTTACTGAATCTGGAGTTTTCAAAGTTCCATAAATGCAATATTTTAGAAAATAAACACTCCGAGGTTAAAATTATGATCAGCAGAGCGACCACCTACTTATCTAGCCTTGATTCTAGCTATAGTTGTAAAAATATTTTTTTGTTTTTTTCAATGAAACTGTCCATATTATTTTTAAATTAAATGTCTAAGATTTTAGTTCTTTTCGAAATAGCTGTTTGTCTAAATTTGACATTCTGTAAATTTAGTCTTACTTTAATAATTCAGTAAACTACAACAACCAAAAACATTGTTTAAATGTGTAAATAATAAAACAAGAACACTGTATAAAAATATTAACATATTCATCGGTAGAATCAATACAACGTTCTTATAGCAGAGTTACAGCGAGATCGTTTGGCGGTCGCTACCCAAAACCTTTTCAGGTGACTAAAATTAGAAAAAAATCGTAAATGACGACTTTATGATAATAATTTCATTAGGCCGGTAACTATAGTTTTTTTTTTTTAATAGAAAGTAAGTAATTCTAGAAGTATCATACTGGCAATGTAGCAATACAGTTTAAACGGTATATTGTGGACGATTTTTCATTTCAGTCCGGTCTGGATATAGTGCACTGTTCTGGAATGATAAATGTGTAGGCTACATAATTCAAGTTGCCCCCTGAATTTTAGGTGCCTACTGGAATATTATGCATTATGATTAGCATTTTTTGTGTATAATGTATAAAACCTCAGATGTTATCGTTAACTTTTTTATATTATCGGACGTAAAACAAGAGCTAATGTGAAACGAATCATATAACGCAGACATTAAAATATATTTCAAACTTATCTAAAATCATCTGAGCTTTTGATAGGTTTGCATTACTGAGAATGATTTCCAACATTTGCACACGAATGTCTATCAATCTATCCTATCTTCTGTTGCTATTCTACGTTTTATATTTATATATAAAATATGTATTAGTGATGTATATACTATGCTTACGTCCCCTTTAATAGACAAATTCTGCTTTTATATTTTTCCTACATTTGGGATCAGACGCAATGCGCAAACAAAGATATTCTGGAATTTGGATCTTATATGCATTCACTCGTACGAATAATATTATAGCATGCAACTTTGAATCAAAATTACCAAAAACAGTGTCTATAGATAGGTAAATAAGCATTTTTAAATAGCAGGCTGTCAAAATTTTCATAAGTTAACTATGGCATTTGAGGCCTGCGTCCACCAATAAACGTGTTATTTATGTATGAGTGAAGTTTGAACAGAAATAGATGAATTAGAATTTTGTCGCGTTAATTCAACATTGGGCCTTATTACAATGCCTGCCTTAATATTCGCAGGTACTTCCCTGTTAAAAAGTGGTAGGCAAGGAGGCACCTTTTCGGACACAAGACGTGGTGCTCGAATGAACTTGGTCACATACGCCATTGCCACGTACGACATTATCTCAATCTCTACATGTTTTGTTGCTTAAACCGAAAATATGCACTGTTGACCTCACTTGTTTACTCGGAACTGTATTTCGAGTTACTCGTTTAAAACCCTACAACCAATACTTATTACTAAAACTGGTTTTCCTCATTTTTATGTTATTCTCAGTACAATTAATTTTTGGTAGTCAATCTTACTACTACCAAAATGTTTAATCTACTATCTACCAAAATAAAAGAAACAATAATTAATCGTAATGGAAACTGCTTAAATTGGAAAGATTATATCTATTTTATAATATGAAAAATATTAAATGTAGTTCTTAATGAAAAATACTTAACATTTCTCAATTAAAATTGCGAAAGGTTATGGGTTCGAATCCCATCTCAGAGTGCCAGAGACAAAGCGGATTTTTTAAACATTTTTCATCAAGAATAATTTTTTGTATAGCATAGTGAATGCCAAGTAGATCAAATATAATAATTAAATGTAGATGTTCCAACTTTCAACCAATAAAGCATTAGCTTTGTATCTTTTATGCAATTAATATTATCAGAAACCGAACATTATCAACTATATATAAGAAAACTTGCAGTTTTTATAAGTACGATAGTTAACAACGCATAACGAGATTCGAACGATTCAATAATAGAGCTCTTATAAACAACCTATGTAAACGAACGGTCAGCGTATTCAAAACGTATTTCATTGTTAGAAAGTTTGATCGTTGCGGCCGCAAATATACATAAATAGCGAAGCATTTTGAATAGAACCATTCTCTGTGTAGCGTAAGTAGTTACGAAAATCGCAGTTTTAAACAAAAGTACACTTTTCCGTACATTACATCATCTTTGTATTATAATATATGAATAGATTAATCTCTTTTCATCATCACCTCAGCCGTATGACACCGACTGCTGATCACAGACATTCTCCATTAACTGTCCTACCAAAGAACGGATCCTGTATGCGGTCACTATTCCAAAGGCGTTTCGCAAAGATACTTTATTAGTGAGAAAAAATATATTATGTATTATTGATTGTTCGTAAATAGTGATATTTCTATTTTATTTAAATTTTGTACAAATTAATTCATAAAAATATAAATTAATTAACATCTATTACTTTATTGGGAGTTATCACACGATTATTATATATATAATTACGATTATTCTTATTATACTATACGTGTCATAACTCTCAAAAAAGTAATGGATGTTAACTAATTTATATTTTTTATGAATTAATTTGTACAAAATTTAAATAAAATATAAATATAACAAATTAATATAATTTAAAAAATATAATAAAATAAAATTTTAAGAAGGTGTAAACTTTCAGATCTTTAAGGTATCTTTATATTAATTCAATCAGAAGTAAAATAAATTCCTCATAGAAAAAAAAACAGTTGCTCTTGATATATTTTTCACATTTGAGTTGTTGCGTAACTAATTCATTTAGTAAGGCGTTTCTGCAATTCATATCAAGACATTTCATTTCTACGTCGGGTACGGCGCGACCGACGAGTACTGGGCAATTTCCTTGTGATTTCCTCACAGAGTCGGGACT